GTTGTCGATCGGAAGGGGGGGGGCGAACTCCATGCTGGCGGGACCAATGTTGAACCCTAAGGGCCCATGTGGGAGTTGTGCATACCAACCCCCCTACCCCTCCTTGAAGAACTAAGCCTATCGGCGAGGACGAAGTTGTCGATTGGAAGGGGGGGGCGAACTCCATGCTGGCGGGCGGGCTGTCGCTGCGAAGCCTCTTTAGCAAGGTGTTGCCGCATGTATTGCGCATAGATGTCCGGTGTGGAGGCTTGCAGGTCTGCACAAAAGTGGCCATGAGTGATGACACGGTCCTGCTCCTGATGTCCATACATGGAGGAAGGATCCTGCGAACGCCGGCCCGGCAAGTCGTTGCTCTCCGCCAAAAGATATGTAGCGAGCTTGGAGGCATGGGAATTTGGAGCACCCATGGGTCAGGCAGCACATCAGTGATGAATGAGGGGGCCTCGGGCTGATCGCTAGATGCGGAGATAATGCGCCAAGATCCACGCATTTGGGGAGGAGTTTCCCAGCGTCTTGCTCAAGTGCGTACTCTTTTCTTTGGACGAAACCCACACAAGGTCATCCTCATGGATAGGACAAGGCATGCGACGCCAGTTTGCCTGCTGTCGCATACCAACCTGCACCTTCTGCATGTGTGCGCGGGCTTTGGCCAGCGGTGTTGATGTCGGCTACCTGAGGAAGAAGAAGATTTGCGAAGACTCACGCAATGCCAGTTGGCCTGCTGTCGCATACCAACCTGCGCCTTCTGCATGTGCGCGTGGGCTTTGGCCAGCGGTGTTGACGTCGGCTACCCGAGGAAGAAGGAAATTTGTGAAGACTCAACCGTTCCAACCGCCATTATGAAGCTTGAACGGAGCGGCGCCAATCACTGAGTGCAGCGGAGTGTTGTAGGCAAACTCGATGTCAGGTAGGCGCTCAACCCAAGCCTTTCCGTCCAGACAAATAAGCATACAAAGTATCATTTGAGCGGTTTGGTGTGCCCGCTTCGTCTGCTCATCCTTTTGTTGGTGCCGAGCCAAACTCAACTTCATTTCAGAGCCGGATTGCTTCATGAGAGCAATCCAAAAGTCCGACATGAACCGAGTGTCACCGCATACCACACTGGGTGATAGTGATTAGGCATGAAGTGGACGGATGCCATGACGCCACCGTGACCCGCAGTATCCAAAAGTGTGCATGAAGGAAGGCATGGTCAGCGTAAAAAAAAAACAAAAAAAAAACAGGAAGACATGGTCCAGAACAGCTCCTCCCCCCTGTGCGACCTATCGGAATAGCGT